CTTCACTGACCTTCTGTAGGTTGAAATCATTAACGTATATAAACAATGAGTTCTCTATATTTATACATTTATTTCAGTCAAGATAAAATTTCCATAATAATATTAAGGACCCTCATAATAAATGTTTTAAAACACGTAGGTAAGCGCGATTTTACAACTTAATCTTACAACTTTCGCTTACGATTTATCAATCCTTTTACTATCGTTCGCGAAACAACATTAAATTTCAATTATGAAAATTCATAGATGAAATATAATAATAAATCTCATCTCTAAACCAAAAGAGGAGAGAAGTATATTTCTAGTATCCTGATAAATATTTGGGTCTATTTTTTTAAACTTAGAAATATTCCAGGTCACCGTACGGTTGTGTTCACACAATCCTGTAGTCCAAGGCTTATAGAATAAGTATATCTTGCTTGTGGGGATTCCCCGGTCGTCCATTAAAAAAGAGAAGCTACTGTTGCGAATGTAAGGATGAGAATGTGAAGTGGTCTCCTATAGTCACAAAGAAGTTAAGAGAAGAACTCCCAGGGCCGTGCTCAAGTGCAGTGCACAGATACGAAGGGTCTACCTCAGCTCCCAAGTCCAGCTATGAAACGTCATTTCTATAAATAACTCGTAACGACATAATATAATATTGAAGATTGATAATTAAATGTGGAGGTCTACATCCACCGTGTTCGCCCCACGCTTGACGCAGTTGTCCTAACCTACGACGGAGATATGTAACCTTCATCGACATTGCTTTATCACTACATAAAATAAAACAAAGTCATCCCGCTGTCCCTATGCTTAGATCTTTAAAACTACTCAACGGATCTTAATGCGTTTTTTTTACGAGATAGAGTGATTCGAGAGGAAAGTTTATATGTATAATTGTATTATTAAAATATAGTATTGAAGCGGGTCGCTGGTAAATAATAAAGTATTGAATAAATAATTAGTCAGGTCTATTATCGTCCGAGAATTGTAATCTGTTTGAATGTCAAATGTAATTTACGAAATCAGAACCTATTAAACGTAATTGCGAGTCAGGCGTTTAACAGTCTAATTGCTTCGCAGACATGAAAACGAGACATTCAAATGAAGTCTAAGAAAGATAAATGTACGTTTTAGCGAGAAAATATCCGAAAATTGTTTTTTATATAATTTGAGATACAATTTTTTTTATGAAAAGTTGACAAGCGAGCAGGCGGTTCACCTGATGTTAAATGAATATCTGCTACACCCAAGGGTTGTAGATGCGTTGACAACCTTTTGAAAATTGGGCTCCGGCTACCTCACTCAGCAGGCGAAACGCGAAAGTATTATACTTCCACTTCACGCCGGTCTTCTAGCCGGAGCACCCATTCGTCCAACAGCCGGGCTGCTGCGTGGCCCGGCCCTACCACGGTTAAAGTTTGATGAATGTATTTTTGATTTTTTTTCAATGAATTCATTATATCTTTATACATGCAATAGCCATAGGGGACTACGTAAGAAAACATTGTATTGGCCATTATCTGTAGTTACTGAAATTATTTAAATTAAGTATAATGGAACATTTCTTGATAAGAAGTCACAGAAATTGTTAATTGCGGGCCATCTCCATAAATTAGCTAGAGCAACACTATAGAAGCACAGGAATTGTGTTTATTTTTGGATTAAGCTACATTTTCTCCTTTTTTATGATATAAAACAAAAACTAATTTTTATCGATGTTCATGTTAATGCAATCCCTTACAGAACTAACGAAGAGGGTGACAAAGATTACTTCAATTTAATAAATTTGTAGAATGATCACTTTTTATTTCCTCATGAAACTTATGTAACAAAATTAAATTAATAATGGTTGTCTACGTATTGTGATGAGGTAAGCCTATCCAGCTATTTATACACAGCTGTGGGTTGAAATTGGTATTATTGTCAAAGCAGTTCTTATAGACAAGTGGTTCATCGTTCCACTGAAGAGAAACTGTTTGTCAGTGAGCATAAACTGCCACCCACTACAGACTGTAGGCCATGAATTGTAACCTATCTAGGTAATAGAAAAATTGCCAGTGACAATACATGACTGTGGCGACATTTTTATACTTTGAAAACATCAGTTTCATCTTTAATTTTTAAAAGTAAAGTAACAGCCCATACATGTCCCAGCTGCTGGGCAAAGGCCTCCTCTATACAGAGGGTATCAGGGCATAGTCCACCACGCGGCCCCACTGCGGATTGGCGGACTTCACATATATTCGAAATATATTTTTTTTGTTATTATTTCGAAAATATGCAGGTTTCCTCACGATGATTTCCTTCACCGCGGAGCACGTGATAATTCAGCACTTAAAGTTAAAAACTTCATTGGTGCCGGCACCGGGGATCGAACTCAGGTTGCTCGAGTATATTGAATTAAGGCGAGCGCCCGGACACTAAGCTATCACGGCTATCACGGCTCTTAATTTTTATATTCTTCACAAAATAATATAATGCTTAATGTCGTAAGGAAGAATTGTATCGGCAATTTTCTACTTACAACCGACTTCTAAAAAGGAGTTTTTTTTTCATATTTGTTCAGTGCTCCGTCATTTATGAATCGATTTTAAAAATTATTTTTGCATTGGGTTCGTTTTACCTTTCCTGTGGTCCCCATATAATTTCATTGGTATTTAAATTGTGAATTCAGAACTACATCAGGGAACTCCTCAAAATCAAAGATAAAATGTATACTGATGACTATGAAATGTAACTGATATATTTAGTTTATTTAATTTTTGTTACTATGTATAAAAAATAAATAAATTTACAAAAATGATTCATGATTCATGCCATTATACATAGTTTATAGATATTTCTGAGTACATACTTCTAAAAATTTACTGAAATCCTCGTACTTACTCTAAATGCCTCAATAAATTCGAGTGAAGAAACGCCTACTTCGCTATATAGTCGACTTGGTTTTTTTTTATCACGAATTGGCTAGTACTTGTTTGTTTTGCATATTAACGAAAGAATGTTGTTTTGAAAGATGATTAAGTTTTTTTTTTTGCGAATTTTTATGCCATATCATTCCGACAGGTCATAGAGCCAATCCAAAATCGTAAAATGTGTATCTGCCGTAGTTATTCTGCCGCAATTTTTGTAATTATCGTGCTTTATTAAAGCACGTTAAATAAGGGTTTGAATTCAGTAGAGCACTTACCAATTTCGGAGGCTGCGGATATGTCCCGTTAGTGTGGATTTCGTGACGTTTTAAATCGATGTTGTTTGTTAGAGATGCTGTTAGATTGTAAGTAAACAATATTTATTAATAGAATATTCGAGCAGCGTTTGCTGTCGTCGTGAGTCGCGATCGTTCCTCGCGGTGCACTGCGGTCGAATGCTTGGCTGTTTCGCTATTATTTGTTTCGCCAGGCGTTTGGATTCCGATGTCGCGTGGGCGCTTCCCGCCAAAACCAGTTGTCTTGGTTACAAGACGCTAATGGCGTCATCGCGTGCTAGTACTCTTCTGCCAGATTGTTCAAACGTTATCTCTATACCACTCTCAAGTTATCATAGAAAATTGCTCATGGTGCATTTTAATTTTTGTGCGAAAATTGTCAAAGCTTCACATGTATAAGGTCAAAATATTTAATATTTATTAACATGAATGTTTAGAAAATTTAATTGTCAGTTTGTGAGCAGTCAGTTTCTTGGATTAAATCGGAAATCAAATTCATCTATGTTTTTTATTTATTGTTTAATATACGCTTAAAATAAGTTTCTGAATCCTAAAATCCATTCTTAGTTCATTACTAACTTGCTTTTAGTGATGTAATTACCCTTCGGCAATTTGTGTCAAAAATAGTACAATCGTCAAACAGTATTTCCTTAAAGAGAAGCCATAAAGAAAAATACTGAAACAGTTTGACGACCCGAATGGCGTAGTGGGTAGTGTACCTGCCTCCTGCGACAGAGGGTGTGGGTTCGATCCCCACTACTGGAAAAATATTGTGTGATGAACATGGTGTTTTTCTAGTGTCTGGGTGTTTCTATATGTATAATATGTATTTATTTACAAAAGAAAAGTGTGTTTATCAGTTTTCTTCGTTTGTTGTATTTCATAACGAAAAAAAATTTAAAGCATATTATTTTTATAGTGCTATTCTCAGCACTCAGAAGTTTAAACATTTTTGTCGGGCGCATATTTCGGTGGACACTGGTTCAATTCCTCACAGTGGTGAAAAACTTTTCGTCAATTTCTATACAAACATTTAAAATTAAATAATCCAAATAAAAATCAAAATCCCGACCGACTTCCTGCACATAACTGAAGAATCGATCTAGACGTGTGATTATGGGCTGACCTCTCCGAAACCTTCCTAAAATATCGTAATTATTAAACATAATTAAGCAAGTTTTTACCGACTACATTTTCTACATTAATTTCATTGGATTTTGTAAGCAAGAGCACTTATAAAACGTAAAACATATTATAATTGGAATAAGTTTCTTACTACGCGAAATTTTGACTATGCCTCATATCAAAATACATGGCAATGATTAAACTCAAAAATCACACAGATCAAATAGAATTTAGAACATCAAGCCTGCTATTTTATTCCTCTATAATACAGTTCTCTATGTATTAACATTTTCATCAAACGCCCTCCTGTTTATACGGCAAGTAAGCACATGTTTATATCAGTAAGCACATATTAGAATTAATATTAAATATGGGATTTGTCAAATGTAAACATCTTTCACATCTTCCTGACATTCGACTAGCGTCATTATAGCCGACGCCTGATAGTTATGATTGCCTTGTGTGAACTTTAATTATAGAGAAAATCCGATTTTGTATAGACACCATAGACCTTATCCTCCTTAGACACCATCTGCCCTTTGAATAGACTTTTCTTTATTGTGTTCGCGGAAAACACATTTGGAAAGAGTTTGGACTTTTATAGGCAATACAACTTGATAAGAAAATAGCGGCTACACTTGATTAGGTTTTATTGGTCTAAATTACATTGGCGATTCGATCATATGTCGAGCATTTCCTCCATTCGTATCGAATACGGCACATCGTGTACCGTTGTCCAGTTGACGGTGTTAGTACGAGAGACCACGTCGGCGACGGTCCGGTCACGGAACTCTTGCCAGCGTCGCGCCGACACAAACTCCTTGAACAGCTGCCTCTTCGACGGTATCTAAGAAGATTAAAGAAGAAGGAAGAAAACACGGTAACTGATCACTGTAGTGGAACAGCACCTTCTGCTGTTGGATTGATAAGCTTGATCTACCAGGGCACCACGTCTTCGCAGAAGATCATTGTAAAATATATTTTTTCATTCCTTCTGGTGAGTGGGGTTACCGGGAACCATTGAATTAAAGGTCAGCAATTCAACTGAGTGCCACGAGCGTTATGAATATTCAAAGGCGGTGGCAATCTCCTGACATCAGGTGAACAGACTGTTTGAATAACGTTTGTCTTAAAATTACTTATCGTTTTAACAATTCATCCCAAGCCCCCACGTGTTCAACAATTTATTTTTCTTATAAAAAGCATTTAATTCCTATCAATAGATACCGTAAGTAATAACTGATAATGTATAACGTCACATAATCTTGTTCTCCGCTAGCAAACGAAAACCAGAAACAGAAGAATGAAAAAGTACAAAAAATTGTCTTATCTATGACCGAGGTTACTCAACCTTTTAGGGTTATACAGCCGACAAAAATTTTTGTCGACTTTTTGAAAAATTCCTTTCCTAAATGCGGTTCGCATAGCCTTAATATATTTTAAAGCCTTTATTTTTCTCAATTATTTATTATTGTGTTTTTGACTGCAATCGTTATACAGGTTTATGTTACACTGATAACACCGTGCAACGGTTGTGGAGCGGATCAACCTATTTTAAATGACCTGAAGTATGTAAAGGTGTTTAGGATGGACATGGGCAAAAGACAATATATCGTACGCAAGCCTTGTTTGTTAGGTTATATATATAGTCGGTTAGATACGAACGCGACCCGCCTTATAACGTTTCCTATGTGAGTATTAAAAGACATCTGAGAGACTCTAGTGTCGCAAGTGACCCCAAGGTATTTAGCTTTCTACCCCAAGGGATCATTTGGATACACAAGTTTGCCCTAGATTTCTGTTTTGTCAATGAAAAATTGGAGTTAACTGTGGCGTCAGTTTTGATTCTCAATTTGCGAAACCAGTCACCGAGGTGATTTGTAGTGCTTTGAAGGTGAGTAGTTACTCGGCCAAGATGTTTGTTCGAATAGAAGAGGCAGGAGATCCAAGGATCCAGGATCCAGGATCATCCAAGAACCACGTGGTGACACGTGGATGCTTAGGGAAGTCGCTCGTGTAGAGAGAAAAGAGCAAGGGGAGAGGCAAGAGCCCTGAGAAACGCACGCCTTATACTCGAAAAGAGCGATTCGACAGGAAGGCTCGAATGGTGTGCACAAGTCTGACGGGCACGTTAAGTGCGTAAAACTTGTAAAGCAAGCGCAATTACATGCCAGACCTTGTTGAATGTGAAATAATAAAGATGAGTAGACCCATGCGTATGTGTTTAAGGTCCTGTATTTCTCTCAATATGTGCTTCATCAGGTGACAGATCTGTGGGGAACAGGAGTAATTATCACAAGGCCTACCCTACAGACTGCCACAAAGGACGATCCTGAACCCCTATGACAAATCCATCGACTTCCCGCACACTTGCACGCAGGTCGTAAAATTTTTACTTTAATAATAATTGAACATTTAGGTGGAATTTTTTTTTAATTATTTAAAAATGATTTTGTAATTAAACACTGAATATTTTCTTATATAATACAGACATACGAAAGCAATAACGATTCAACCATCGTATACTGGTTGCTTTCGAATAATTACATATAACACTACCAACGCTGTCACCGTGCCTTGAATTCGCCCACGGATTAAAAACATGACATCAACTTCGAGCCCTATTTGGCTGTAGCCTACGTACTTTCTTTACGCCCATTAAGTTTTATTATAAATAAAAGACAGATTTATTGAGCTTCGCCCCAGCCACGAGGCGTGTAATTACACGGGAATCGTCCCCAAAATCTTTAACCGTTAATTTTGATGTGACGTATGCATTCCTTTTAAATATAATGATGGGTGTATTTGGCCAGTTCATTTTATTGCTCGTCATTAAATCGCATCGATAACATTATCATTTATGAGATGACCGAAAAAACCAGTGTTGTTTCTGTGATTGTCAAACCACGCGAGTGTTTTTTGGTATTTCGAATTTTCTTTTGCAAGTATTCACCACTTCGCGTGTTTAATCGTAATGTGAATAGTTGTAACTAATTACTAAGATGGTGAAAAGTCCTTGGAAACTACCAAGCTCTTGGAAAGCTATCCCGTCCACAAACACTGTGCCCGATATAGCTTTATATAGCCTACGAACTGAAAGCATAAACAACAATCACCTTATTTATGATTATGATGATTTATGATGATTATTTTATGATGAAGTATATTTAGTTTTGCCATATTCTTTATGATAGACACTAAAAATCTTGTATGTCATTATAGCGTTACTACCCGTAACTTGTACTCAACCACCAAAGGTTAGCTGGAAGAAAATGCTATTTAGCATTAAGTTCGCCTTTGTACAAACTTCTAGTACAATAAAGAATATACAAACAAACAAACAATCACCTAAGGAATATAGGGAAGACAGGTGATCTTAACTATTAGGTTTTTCTCTGATAAATTCATTACAGCCAATGCGTACACAAACTCAAACATTTATTTATTAATTTTATGTCGGAAGGTGGGAAGCGAGCTGGCAGTACACAGATGTTAAGTCATAACAGCCGCTCTTTGACATTTGCCACCTTTTAATATAGTGGGCCCCGGCAACCGCACACACCAGACGAAACGCAGAAGTATAACACTTCAACTTCACGCCGGTCTTCTGTGGGGTAGTGGCACTTCTCGGACGGAGCTGCCCATTCGTGCATACAGTGAAGACTGTTGCGTGGCCCTACCATAGATTATCATTCGCTATATCCACTTATTTGTTTTATTGCAATACATCGTATCGTATATGAAAGTTCGTTTTTTAATGACTCATAATGTTGGCCTCAATTAATATCGTGCCGTCCTTGGCGTGAAGTTTTACAGTCAAGGCGAATAATGAAACACGGATAATATATATTTTTTTTTTTTTAAAAACGTTGTCCTTACTTTAGGATAACATTGTCCTATGCTGTAAGGACGTTTTACAAACATAAATCTCACACGGACAACACCCAGATGCGAAACAACTAATTGTGGGTCACACAAACTGTTGTCCCGTTAGGGAATCGAACCCACGACCCCTTACGCCGAAGCCACGGCTTCATCCCTATAAATTCCTTATCTTGTTATTATCAAGGACGAGCTTATAGGCAGGACCATAAATATATAAAAATTTAAAGTCAAAGTTAAGCATCATGATACGTCAAAGTCAAAGTTAAGCTGGTATCAGTAATAAATATTGTACAAACATTTATACCGTATATTCAATAATATTCTATTCTGTTTTAAATCACATGGTAGTGACTTTTCACAAGAGGTCAAAAATTTTTGAATTATTTGTTGCCATTTTCTTTTTTCATACGTAGCTTGTTAAGATATTACATCTTTTTTGTTTATGATTTCCAGATTTTTATGGGTAACAGCATATAAGTTTTCTTCGATATTAAAACTATATTTATGAACCCATCCACCAATTCAAAATACGCGAAAACATATGACACTCGCTTCTATAAACAGTTCCGTCCTCAGAATGAATAGTGATTATCGATGAATGTTAGTCTTGAAATTAATTGGCAAATGAGATGGCGGGTTATCTGATGATAAATGATTAGCCATGCACAATCTCAACACCTTCCAAGTTGCAGTCGCTTAAGAGACTAACGCCAGGTTTCTGAAACACTAATCAAGGATCAGAATGATCAATTCAAAGAGTTTACAATCTGTTTTGCAACTCAACATTTGAAATGCCATTTGACAGCTGATTAGTTGACTTATACGATGATTAGTGTTTCAGAAACTGGACGTAAGACTCTTGGTAATCCACTCACAAGCGGAAAGAAATCGAATAAAATAAAGAAGACTATTTATAAAATAATGAAACTTCTAATTTAAGCTGGTCTTCTGTAAAACCGTGGTTCTTCTTTATACGAACTGGCCCATCCATGCAACAACAGAGGCCATTGTGTAACTCTACGAAGATAAACTTCAGTAAGGTATTGCCCTACTTCCCAAGCAAGACAAATTAGGTTGGACAAAATGTCCCAATGCCCGTTAATGCAGATACCTTCTTTTCCAGGTAGTGCTGGATCCGTGACCAGATGTTCGCAGTGTTCCTCTGCAGCAGCCATATCTTGGGCATGAGCATGCAGTCGACGGGGGTGAGGGCAATGATCCTCCTATCGCGCATGTTCTCGCCGAAGCCGAAACTGGAGCCGGGGTTGAATTGGCACACCTACAGAGGCAGAACTCTAAACAGCCACGTACAACCAAGAAAATATCCTAGGGTTGAGGCAGAAATGCAGAGCCGTGAGAACAGAACTACAAGAACAGCAGAACTATAAGTAGATAATGTAGTGTCAGTAGATAGCGCTGATGGCATTAAGTCCGCCTCTGTACATATTTTGTGTTTACAAAGTATAAATAGATAAAATAAATAAATACATTTGCTCGAGAAATGGAGTAAGTTCAAATCCCGGTATCAGAACCAATGAACTTGTTAATTGCAGTTTTAAGTGCTGACTTATCACGCGCTCAGCGGTGAAGGAAAACATTAAGATGAAACCTGATGTTTATGACATAATAACAAAAAAAAATCGAAGATATGTGAAATCTGAAAGTGCGCAGTGCTGTCTCGTGGTGGACCATGTCCTCAGAGAGTACAGAGGAGTTCGTTGCTCAGCAGTGGGACGTATATAGGCTGTTACACAATTTTTTTTCTATCAAGGGAAAAGGGTTCACCTGCATGAAGTAAGTGCGAAGGTTCTGTGGCGGCTGAATCACCTCGGGTACCAAGCTCATCCTGTGAAAATGATGCAATAAAATTGGGTATTTTCATGATTACTTTTGTACATAAAAAAGCTATCCGACTGAGCAACTTACTGCTCATAAACAGTTTATTAAAAGGCCAAGCGCCTGTAACCCTACGGGTGTCGCTAATACCCATGAGCGGTGGTTATCACTGATCATCAGGATAGCCGTAAGTTTGTTTCCATCTACTTACATAAAAAAGCTTTCAGACTGCTCATTAACCAGTTGAATCTGATAACTTTTTTGGTTTTCACTGTTTTCATTCATGACGCAAATTTTTATTGTATGGGACTAACGCATAAGATTTTTACGGTGTTAGGACCACGCAGCAGCCTCGGTGTTGCACGAATGGGCTGGCTCGTCCTGGTACGTACCGCGACCTCACAGAAGACAGGCGTAAAGTGAAAGTATAATACTTTAGCGTTTCGTCTGGTGAGTGAGGTGGCCGGAGCCCAATTTTCAAAAGGTTGTCAACGCATCTGCAACCCTCGGGTGAAGCAGATGTCCATGGGCGGCGGTATTCACTTAACATCAGGTGAATCGTCTGCTCGCTTGGCAACTTTTCACAAAAAAAACTCGGCTTGAATGTTACGAAGGCAAAGCAATTATTACTTCGCTACACTGAAACCGTATAATAGTGTAAAAATATTAACAAATGAGATTCACCTGTCAATGTCAATTTCACACATTCCATATAATTTAGCATAGAAGTAAACCAGGCGCCGTATCATTCGTGTTAAGAAAATTTGGCGACACCGTAATAGCACATAGCCCGTATTCGTGCAGCGAAATATCACGACATAATAACTTCATCATCAATAACATGAATATGATCTTAGCCACAACTTATTACATCACTTACTAACAGCAATGCGTAACATTATGACAATCGATAAGTCCAGGTAAGATCCGTGTGCGTATGTGACATTTTTTATTGTTTTTGCTTTCAGTCCTGATACTATTGAAGCTTCACCCGACGCAGAACCGGCGGGCTAGCCAGAGCCCACGGGTTCGGAATGTGTCACTTGAAAGACTTCCGACACAACCTGACAGACTCTCGCATCTGGCCTTCGGAGGGCTCCAGGAGGTCCTGCGACCTCGCCGCCGACACGGAGCTCGGGCCCTCTTTGCCCTCGAAGGAGGCGTGCGCGCCCTCCGGCCTCGAAACGCTGGACCTGTTCTTCAGCACGCTCTGTTGTCTCGCGCTGCCAACGCTGGTCTCGTTCGTTGGCCGCTTTAACGCCGTCTGCTCTCCGTCAGAGCTTCCGCGCTTAGCGACGCTGCTCCGGTCGGCCTTCCCGTATGCGCCGAAGTACTTCGTGTCCAGGTCTTGCTCGCTCTCCTCTCTCGGGACCTAAGCGGGGTCGGCTTTAGCCAGTAATACATCAATGGCACCGTCTGTTGAACTAAGGTTGTTAAAGAAATGAAAACAATATCACAAAGATCTTCCCTTTTTTCGGCACCTACTAAAATTTGTATTTACACATAATTTATACATTGTTAAGAATAGTGATAAAAGAACTCGCAGTCCATCTCATTTTAAAACGGCAATAATTATTAGAGAATTATAGATGCACATTTATACATAGACTACGTTTTAATGAAGTGTATGCAAATGTTTTAGGTGATTGCAGCCAATGCGATCCAAGAATTTCAGTTAAAGTTTTGTCGCCTACACGACAGCATTCCGAAATTCCTCCACATAACATTGAACCTTAACTTTACTACAAATATGCTAACCCTTTTACACGAAATTTTTAACAGCTCGAAATCATCACCGTGATTCATGTTTCATCTGACAGAGCGTTGGGCGCGGTTTCAAAATAAAACCACAAAACTTTTCAAACCGTTCTCACGGCCAGTAAAAATGCACATACGTAGGGATCGTACAGCGTGTAGTAGTTGCGGCCGAGACGCGAGGTGACGGTCACTTGTATTGACTCGATCATCTGACAGCGTCCCGATAGGACGAAATACACGAAGTTCGGCACGCCCACGCCGTCGCCCAGCACGGTCTCGTTGGTTTCGTATGATTTCATTTTCGCGACAATGCAACCTTCGCGGCGTGCAACCTGCAGAGCGTTGTGACTTCCTCAACCTCCTTAGCCTTGGACAACCTTGAACAGAAAAGCATTCTGTCCGCCCACATTAACTAGCATCGTTAGCAATTTAGCGTCTAAACTAGTATATTTTAACGAGTATGAGCTTTAAAACAAATTTAAGACTGTGTGAAGTCAGAAATATTGTAGAGGGCCGTATGCTATATCTTGTAATTGTTAATTTAAACTACTTAACAGATTTTGAAGCGTTTAAATCAATTTACTGTTGTAGGGCCACGCAACAGTTTTCACTGTTGCACGAATGGGCAGGTCCGTCCGGGTAATTACCACGACCTCACAGAAGACCGACGTAAAGTAGAAGTGTTAAACTTCTGCGTTTCGTGTGGTGAGTGAGGTAGCCGGGGCTCACTTTATTTAAAGGTGGCACGCATTTGCAACCATACGATTATTGCAAATGTCCATGGGTGGCGGTTATTACTTAACATCAGGTGAACCGCCAGTTCGTTTGCCGTTTTTCGGAGTTTTTTTTTTATATAGAGTTCGGTCCGATCAACATTTAAAATGCAATATGGCAAGATAAAATTTCGACAAATTAAGACAAATAATTAAACCTCTCCCTGATGTGATAATAAACAGCAAATGCTTATGGACTTTACAAGGGACAGAATGAATAAATAAAGATACATATGCAAGTATCACGAAGGAAACATCGTCACAAAGGAGTATAGAACAATATAAAGAATATCAGAATCGTTTACAACGTAAAAAGAATGATCTATCACCTCGTCTAGCCCGTCGAAGTAGGTAAAGGCGGACATAGCGCGTCGCACCTCGTCCCACTGCTTCTGTATGGAAGCCTGGAGAACGTTCTTGAAGTCGTCCTTCATCAGTACCAATAATTCGCAGTGACCTAAATATAAGGATAAATGAAAAACACTTCGCCGCCGATGAATGCCACATCGAGCGCCGCGTTTCATGCATCCGTAAACAAGCAACAGTTGCTACGTTACAGGTATACGCTAAAGATAATCTTTTCGATACTAACTTTCGAATTTTATATGATTGAAAGCGTGTATATCTTAAAATAGTCACTGTTTTTTTTTTTTAAATATAACATTACTGGTGACCCGCCCTGGCTTTGCACGGGTGCAATGTATTATACATATAAACCTTTCTCTTGAATCACTCTATATAGTTAAAAAAACCACATCAAGATCCGTTGCGTAGTTTTTAAGATCTAAGCATACATAGGGACAGACAGACAGCGGGACGACTTTGCTTCATACTATGTAGTGATAAATAAATAAATATAAACTACTCTCCAAAACAGGTTTTGAGGCCGTAACTCTGAAATATCACATTTCTAAAAGAGTCCTATTGTAAAAATATTTTTCAGCATTTTCTGAGATTGATACTGCCTTGACATTGGCAATGCTCGAGTTGTTCCTTTCAAAACTTAAAATCAATATTTGTAACTTAAATATCCCACATGTTAGTTCTTTATGTTAGTATTTATTATCTACATGAGAAATATACTTCAAACACACCTACACAAACTTTGACATTCATAATATACGATACGAAATACGGTTTTATATAAAAACACGCTTAACAACCAAGCGGCATACCATTGAGACTGATACGACAAATATGGAAAAGCTTTCGTGGCCGGAATAAAAAATAGTAACCCGTATAGTATCAGATATATCTACTGACAAAGTGACAACCACCATAATAGACTCCTCACCACCATGCATGTTTTGTCAGGTATTAGATGCTAATTTTAGAAACATTAAATGTGTGCCGTGTTATATATTATCCGAATAAAACTTGATATACCTTGGTAAGGGAAAATAGGAAAAGATGGCGAAAAGTAAATGAACTCCTTGTTATGAAAGAACATATACATATGTGTATATGTTCTTTTAAGCACCTTGAACAGATATAGCACATTGATATTTTTTCACGGAAGATTCTGAAACCACGGTTAAACCCACGGATATTATATCGCAATGTTATCATCACGTCTGCAATTAAAAAATGGCTTGAGGAAAGAATTTTAAGACGACAATATGCTATTTAAACACATATCGTGGCTAAGTATACATTTCTCTCTGTATTTTTGTTTCCGATATAAGTCCATACAACAGTTTTTTTTTTTATGTTAGAAGGTGGCAAGCAACGTGTGTTTCACCTGAAGGTAAATGATTACCGCAGTTGTAATGAGTTGTCAACCCTATAAGGGTTCCAACAAAAACTTCCACTTTACATTGAATGTATTGATTTCGCGGACGAACCTGTCAACGAGTAAAACAATAAAAAGGGCTATAACAAAAAAAAAATAGTAACAAAAAACGAAACGTTCTTCAAATCTCACTCACTATACATTTTCTATTTGATTTTGAGGAGTTCCCTGATGTATCTCTGGAGTCAAAGGTCCAAACCAAAGGTACAAATTTAATGGATATGAGACCACATGGAAGCCAAACCGAAGCGAAATTTTTAAAATCAGTTAATCAATGACAGAATTCTGAGGTAAAAAGCATACAACCCAATTGAGAACCACTCCCTCTTTAAATTCAATTGAAAATCGTACTCTTTCGCATTCCTTTCTACGTATTAGTATACATCGAACATGTACCGGCCGTCGTGACCGTCGCAGTTCGCTTGATGTTGTGCAGCAGGGACACCTCGCCGAACATCTCCCCCTGGTGCATAGAGCCGACGTCCACCGACACGTGCTTCTGCAGCAGCTCGTCGTATACCATCTGGCTGACCACGACGTCGCCGTTCACGATGAAGTACATTGCGTGCGCGTCGTGGTGCTGACGGACGATCGGGCGCCCCGGCCCGTAGTACTTGTAGTAAGTTACTGCGGCCAGTTTCTTCTTCACGTGCTGCGATTTTCCACGCGAGTGAGACGGGTGATACGGATTTCTGAATCGGTATGGACATTCTACTGAAAAACTCATTCTACTTTGTTCTTTCTCCTGATCTTATTCCACAGTAGGTGGGGCACATGTCTTTTCCTTCCATATTCCTCTATCAGCCGTCATCACAGTACTCACCCCTTTCACAGACATATCACTCTTCACACAGTCCAACAAGTATGGACACTCAATGTAATCATACAACAAAGTCTACATAGACTCAAAAGCTCAATTTTTTTTGTCACTGATTTAAAAAAATAGGAATGCATAATAAAAAATATACTAACATTAGGATAACGCTTGAAACACTTCAAACCTCCAATTATCCGAAATATATATTTTTTCTCCTCGTCTGTGCGTTCATCCGCTGGCTTGTTCAAAAGAGCTTTGTCCTGAAACCATATTAAAAATAGACAATTATTGCTTCCAAAACTTACACAAATAAAAATGTATGTGTAACTGACGTTTATGCTTAACAGCTGCTTCTTTTTTGCTTTCGATCGAACAGCTTGTTCCACTCTTCGCTTCACATTGTCAAGTCCCTCATAATGCTCCACGGCCTCTATCAACCAGTACGAATTTGCCATCACTAAGCGGCCTAGCGCACGGAATAAACATTTGGCGCGAAACTTCCGTTTCATCAACTCTTCGGGATCCTGTATTTATAATGTGAAAATATACCGCAAATTACACGAGTCATAAAAATAGTAAATGTAATAAATATTTATTAATCGTCACATTGCTTACCAATTCTTTTTTTCCTTTAATTATTGTACTGCGGTTTGCCATTTTTATTTTAGACAGCTTTTCAAGTTATTTGGAATATTATTTTTAATCAAAAAAAGAATATTTTATAAAGTAATAAGAAATGAGTGATAATCTCTAAAAAGCGAAAGAAATTTAAATAAGACAATGCATAATGACACAAGCAACATATTAATTTTGTTTCATAATTTGTAGATAAAACCTTTTCAGACCATTTCCGATAAAGTAATAGGGCTAAAAATGCAGAAATTAGACTTAGATAATAACTACTAATTATATTATTAAAGTTTATGATTTCAAAATGGACAAAACCGTGATAGTTCCGTTTTCGGTGCTCGATTTCAATTCAATACACTTGAACAACCTGAGTTCCAATCCCGAAAATTTATTGATAAATAATATTTAAATGTATTATTGTTTTGTTGCCATCTTTAAATAAAGTGGGCCACGGCTACCTCACTCATCAGACGCAGAAGTGTAACATTTCTACTCTACGCCGGCCTTTTTTTTAATGGAAATAGGAGGCAAACGAGCAAGCGGGTCACCTGATAATAAGCGATTACCGCCGCCCATGGACATTCCCAACATCAGTTGAGTCGCATTGCGTTGCCGGCCTTTAAGGGAGGAGTAGGCTCTCTTCTTGAAGGTCCCTGAGCCGTATTTGTCCGGAAATACCGCTGCTGACAACTCGTTCCACAAAGTACTTGTGCGGGCCAGAAAATTACGTGAAAAACGCACAGTGGTGGCCCGCCAACCAACAAGGTGTTGTCGATGGTACTTGTCGGTTGACGAGTTGTAACGACGATGACGAAATAAATCAGGTACCAATATCCGATAGAAGATACAAAGGGATGCAACATCCCTTCGCAAGGCCAAGGAGTCGAGGCGATCGGACAGGATTTGATCGCCGACGATTCGAACAACTCTTCGTTGAATGCGGTCGAATATAAAGAGCTGGTATTTCGGTGCACCAGCCCAGAGGTGAAAACAGTATTCCATATGCGGCCAAATCTGTGCTTTATAAAGCTGCAAACGATATGCCGGTAGGAAATACTGTCTCGCTCGATTTAGGACACCGAATTTTTTAGAGGCCTGCTTGGCTGTCTTCTGTGGCGTCGTGATACTTACCCGGACGGACCTGCCCATTCGTACAAAAGTGAACACTGTTGCGTGGCCCTACCACAGTTGAAGTTAGGTTGACAATGCGTTGCAAGGAAGTTGTGATTGAGGCCTGAATTGCCGATCCACACTGTGCCACCGCGCTTAGCGAGGCTCCCGCATTCTCTCGCAAACATAAATCAGGCACAGTGCTTTCAACAGACAATGCGAGGTCCCTATCCGCAGCTCACATACGATATCCCCGTGCAACGTCGTTTTAGAATCGCTTACTTTTTTTATAGATATTTTAGTAGTAGTAGGCGATCGTCCGACTTAATTTATTTATTTCTTCCTCTAATTAGTTCTACTACCGATCACGGTATAAGCCAAGATTCAAACCGCCATATGAACGATAACTAATTTATAATTCTCAATATTTTCTACGTAGGTGTACTGTAAAAATATCTTCCACAATTTAGCAAAACTAGCTTCCTTTGCTTAACTTTTCGTTTCCAATCGTTGTAGAGAATATATATATTTTCTGTTCAAAAATTAATAATCTGTGAACGTGATTTGACAAATTAGATATTAGATTGCAAATATTACTCCCAGCTTTGTGTGAGGTTATTGAAATAAATCAAGAAACAACTACTTGCAATTATACAAAAATTCGTGGACTTTGTATTACTGTTAACACAATACCGTGATTAATTTACGTTCATTAATTTAATTTTGACCTGCTTTTACAATGGTAATAGTTTAAAACTTTTTGTGCCATATTTTGAATATATTGTTAGCCTTGACATCAAACTAACGTTGTTACATTTATAAACATAACAGGTTTCAAAATAAATAATCTTCAAATGTAATATTTTAAAATTCCAGAGTTTTGGGTTGCCGTCTATCAAAGTCAAGCCAGAATATGGCAGTAATGTTAAAAAGCAAGATGGTACTTTTGGAGTGCCGGATCCATTTGTTGAAGGCTTGGGATCTACAAAACCAAAATTAGGCATATCACATCCTCTGGAAGTTTCCGAAAGAAATGTAAGTAGTTCCTTTAAATACATTTTTTGACAGTTAACAATATAAGTCGAGCAATGTTAATGACAAAATATTAACAATGTTCTAATGATAACTCGAAAATAATTAATAAGCGAAAATCATTGGATTGAATTTGATTTGAAGCATTAACGCCTGGTTTCTGAAACAATGATTATTGTAGAAACTAACTTATCAACTGTCAAATGACATTTGAAAACCCATTTGGTAGCTGATTATTTAATTTCTAAAGTAGTATTCCAGAAACCGGCCGTAAATCTTGCAATTTCTCATCTTTCTTTCTTTCTATTACAGCACAGCTAAAAAGTAGGATTAATACAAACCAAAGTATCAACAACTTTTAAATACTTAACTGCTGCCAACTGTTCAATAAAATAAGCTTTTTTTTTAATTTATTACAATTCATAATTTGTTTGTTCAAGAATTTGCTCCTTAGGTATTTACAAATCTATCCAAACAGTTAAAAGTAAACAAATTTAAAAAATTATTTAAACAGTACGAAGTTTCCTTTATTTAACATTTTGACTTTATTGTAAGCTAACATTATGGCTAAACTTTCCATTGACGTCCGTCAAGTTGCAGGTTTATATTTTTTTACAGAAAGGTTACATATAATTACATATAAAGGTGCCATATAAACACATGCAAAGTTTCCAACATGCGGAAATGCATAGATTTTGAGAAAAATAATATTTAAAACTTGTTATAAGCGACTAGAAAATTCTGCTTGTTTATTATTTCATTAGTGATTTTTCGATACCGAATAAAAATTTTTAAGTCCGAAAAACCCGGCGCTTTTTAATCATTTTAGATTTCATTCACATCATTTTCAAAGTAAAATTTCATCATTTAAAAATAAATCCTGCATATAGATTTTAAGTTCTTTGTAATGTTAAATATCTAGTCTTTGGATATGGTTAGGACATGCTTCCTTTCAAAAATGGTCATCCTCCTTTATGCCTTACCCTAAACACATTCCCTGTGTATCTAAGAGATTTAAACATACATTTTCTTGGAGTTATAAGTTGTGCTGCCTATCAGCTGCTGATCCTTTTAACCATGTAATAAATTATCAATTTTTAAGATGACTTTTTTCACTAAAAGTTCAATTGTTGACAATTTTTTCAGTATCATCTAAATGAGGAGAAAATGAACATGGCTATGTTACGTAACATTCAAGGAATACATGCACCACTTAAGTTATCTATGGAGACGAAATTCACCAAAAAGGTATGACACTGATCACACTGAATAATTTAATATTCCTATAATGATTATAGCATCCTGTGAAAAGGATTAGTGGGAGGGAATTGACTACTAATACTAATAATAGGGCCAAAAACAGTCTTCACTGTTGCATGAATGTGCAGGTCTGTCAAAGGAAAAGTCATAACCTCATAGAAGATCAGTTAGAAGTGGGAGTGTTATACTTTTACACTTTCTGGTAAGTGAGGTAGCCATAGGCCACTAAATTATAAGGTGGCAACACATCTGCAACCCTACGGGTGTTGCAAATGTCAATGGTTTGTGATTTCCAGTTAACATCAGGTGAATCACAAACCTGCTTTCTATCTTCTTACATATAATAAAAATATGAAGACAGTGAAATTTTACATAAAAAATTTTGTGACCGATTGTTTGATATTATACTACACTTACATTATACTTAACAAAATTAAAAATATATACAAATCTGAAAAAGGCAGTCCTCTTGTCCGTAAAATATGTAAAAATACTGTTTCTGCTATATAAACTATGTCAACAATTTTGATAATTTTTCAGATTGGTCGATTGCCATTCCTTCCTAGTTCTAATCTTCAGAATGACGTAATCACAGGTCGATATCTGGATATTGGCTTTGAAGATATTCTGAACACTCCAGAACTGTGCGAAGTGGCTGGCCAACCCCATGCTGTAGTGGAAAGATCGCTTGGCTTAATTTAACTGGCAACTAAACCAATTCTTTTATTATAAATGTACAATGTTCATTATTAAACATATAAAAATCATTATCATGTTTGTTATTATATAAGAAAGATCTGTTTCATCCTCAGTATATTTTTTTGCAGTTTGCAGGAAAGATAGTTTACAAAATTATGTCTTAACCTAAAATTTCAATAAAATAATAAGGCAGACATGATTTATAGGTCATACTAAAACTTTTATATGAAACTGCCCAGCGTTGGACAACCACCCCACCTGATGGTAAGTGGCGATGCAGCCGTTTATGCTCTTGCCTCGAAGACGCCTACGTTATAATCGGATGGCAAGATGGACACCGGCAAGTTGTTCCATTCCTTAGCTGTCTGGATGATGAATGACTAAGCGAATCGCTTACTTCTTGATGGTGGAATGTCTACAGCAAAAGTGTAGAGCCCCGCTGAACATGTAGTACGATGATGGAAAGGCGGGAGGAATCAAAATGTGCAACTCCAGCTCACTCTAAAACGCATCCTCTAGAAAATCGAGAAGCTGGCTACCCTGTGCCTGTGCTAAAGGCTAGTGAGATTGGCTTTAACCAAGTTATGGTCACCAAGGAGCCATTCCGCAAACATATCCATTGAGTCCAAGGTAGAAATAATATCTATATAGGAAATAACTTTTGTGATATAATTTTTAATGTTAGTGTTGATATCAGCACTTAAGTTGAAAATTAAAATGTGTAGATAAAACAGCTGGAATTTTTTTTAATAACTCGACGGCTAAGTGGTCAATATCCTCACAGTGCGAAGGCCTCGACATCTTTACTACTTTGTTTTTATTTCATTATTAACAAAGCGTGGAGTTATCTAATGTATCATTTACAACATGCACACTTTCTAAAATTAGGTACCCTTTTTACCTTACAATAAACATTTGAAAACTAGAGATGTCACCCTTGTTATTGAAATTAATAGTCTTAGTATATTACACGTTTTAAAAACTTAAAACATGTAAATAAGACTTTTAATTAGATAAAACCATCTTAAGTGCAAAGATCAGCACTAAAATTATATTTAGGATGTCGGCATTTCTCTGCGTTCGCAATGCAGATGTCCGCAGTAGAAAAAAGATAACCAATATAGCTAAGAAGATTAGTAAGCTGAATTGGAAATAGGCCATAACATGACCGATTACAGCCATTGTTCTTTTAATTCAATATACTCGAGCAAGCCAAGCTCGATACTCGATGCCGGCACCAATTAAATTGTTAATGTTAAGTGCTAATTTATCACGTACACAACGGTGAATCACTTAATATATCACTTCACTTAAATAATTTCATCATCACTTAAATAATTTCATCACTTAAATAATTTTATTAAATCTAGTTTTAAGGTGACAAAAAATACTTTGTATTTGCCACTATATTATAAGAAACGAATTGCTACTCTAGTAGCATATAATATACAAAACCCAGTTGTACATAGTACAACTAAGAATATTTTATTATGTAATAATCTTTCAGCAAACAATGTTAGTTTAAACTAAACATTGAGACAACGCCTAGGCCACTTAAATTAAATATTGTGCATCAAAATATACAAGGCTTAGGCGGCAAAGAACCCGAAATTGAATTGTTCCTTAGGAAATTTAATATACATGTCATCTGCTTCACAGAGACATGGTTACATAAGCACTGTAATATTGTTAATATAGAAAATTATGAATTGTTAAGTTCGTTCGTAAGAGTACATGCTATTCGCGGTGGCTCTCTTGTATTAGTTAGAACTGATATAGTCTGTAAAAATCGACAGGATATAGTGGCACACTCTGTCGAACGTTCTATTGAATTATCCTGCGTTGAGAGTCAACAGTATATTATAGTATGCGTATACCGGCCCCCCTCAGGTGATTTCGATCAGTTTGAGTGCGTAATAGATGATGTTCTTAAAAAACTATGTTCAAGTAGTAAATCATTAATAGTTTGTGGAGATTTTAATGTGGATTTATTACAAGTAAAACAACTCAGTAAACGACTTTTAAATTTATTTAACTCATTTGAACTTAAAAATCTTTTTCATGAACCAACTCGTGTTACTAACTTATCCTCCTCATGTATAGATAATGTATTCTGTCACAATGATGTATATGATAAATATGTTATAAATCATCTGAGCTCGGATCACTTTGGGCTAAAATTTTCAATAAATGAAAAAGCTAATACAAGCAAACTTAAGATCAAGTGTAGACCAGTCACTACTAATAGAATAAATGCTTTTAGAGATAAAGTGGCACATCATATGTTAAATAAAGATATAGGAGTCAATAACCCTAATGATTCTTATAGATCAATGGTTGACTTTCTCATATCTTCTTATAATGATACTTTTAATTCGCGCACAATTGTTAAGAATTCAAAATTAAAATTTAGTGACTGGGCAACAGTGGGTATATACAAAAGTAGGGATTCATTGTATGAATTATATAGTATGAGGCAGTGGAATCACGATCCTAACTTCCTTAAACGGGTACAAACATTTTCAAAAATATTTAAAAAAGTCTGTGTTCAGGCAAAATCTATTTATATAAGAAATAGCATAATAAATTCAAACAATAGAACTAAAGCCACATGGGACATCATTACCCGTATATCTGGAAGAACCAAGATATTCAGGGAACCTATAAAACTAGTTATAGGTAATACTCCCATAATATCAGATAACGAAATTGCGAGTAGTTTCGAAAGCTATTTTTCAGACATTGCGGTTAATGTCACACATACTTTAAAATCATCTCCCGCAGACGCAATTAATGTTTTAAGAAATAATGTTACCCCTTGTCTACACACATTTAAATTTAATCACGTAGATACTTATGATATTATAAAAGTTTTGAATTCTATTAATCTTAAAAATACAGAGGATTTATGGGGTATGTCCATAAAATTAATGAGCACAATAATGCCATATATTGCACCACATTTGGCTTCTATTTTTAACAACTGCATAGATTCTGGAATATTTCCAGATCTTATGAAATTTAGTAAGATAATACCTGTCTACAAAAGTGGTGATAAAAATGATCCAGGCAATTATAGACCTATTTCCATATTGCCATCTCTTAGTAAAGTTTTTGAAAAGCTAATATTAAATCAACTTTTAGTTCATTGTAATGTGAACAAAATCTTTCACGATGAGCAATATGGATTCACTAAAGGGAGATCGACAACAGATGCGGGCGTCGCACTTGTCAAACATATTTATAACGCCTGGGAAAGGTCACAAGATGCAATAGGTGTCTTTTGTGACCTTTCAAAAGCCTTCGACTGCGTAGACCATAAAACTCTCCTTCAAAAGCTTGAATATTATGGCATTCGTGGCATCGCTCTCAATCTCATTGCCTCCTACCTTAGTAATAGAATTCAAAAAGTATCTATAAATGATGTTAATTCCGCTGGGTCCCAGATGAAAATGGGAGTCCCACAAGGATCAATCTTGGGCCCATTATTATTTTTAGTATATATTAATGATCTCCCCTTTTATGCCAGTGGGTTGTGTGATGTTGTACTGTTTGCTGACGATACATCGCTTATTTTTAAAGTTGACCGAAACGTATTAAATTATGACGACGTGAATAGTGCACTTTCACATATCCTCCACTGGTTTACTATTAATAATATGGTATTAAATGCCAAAAAAACCAGATGTATTCTTTTTACCCTTCCCAGTATAAGAAGGAAAAGTTTTAGTTTAATATTAAATAACGTACCCATTAATCCAGTTGAGTCTGCTGTATTTCTGGGAATTACAGTAGATTCAAAGCTCCAGTGGAGTCCCCATATATCATCTCTTGCGAATAGGCTGAGCTCCGCGGTTTTTGCGATTAGAAGGGTTAGGCAGCTAACAGACATTGACACTGCCAGACTTGTTTACTTTAGTTATTTTCACAGCATCTTGTCGTACGACATTTTGTTGTGGGGTAGTGCATCAGATATAAATTCTATATTTATTCTTCAAAAAAGAGCTGTCCGAGCAATCTACAATATCGGAGCCCGGAATTCACTCAGAGATCTTTTCAAAGAGGTTAATTTACTCACTGTTGCTTCTCAATACATTTATTGTAATGTTCTGTATATACGTCATAACCTTAATTATTACCTAAAGAATAGTTACAGACATAAAATAAACACTAGAAATAAGGACAAACTTACTACGCCATTGTTTCGTCTACAAAAAGTAAATAAGTCGTTCATGGGGCAAAGTGTGCGCATGTATAATAAAATCCCACAGTCGATATTAAGTCTGCCGCTTGACCAATTTAAATGTAAAATTAAAAATCAACTGATGATTAAAGCATATTATACCATTTCGGAATATCTCGACGACGCCAATGTGTGGAGTTAATACTGTTGATACTCACGTAGGCTAGAATAAGACTATTATACCTGTATATTATATTGTACCCTGATATTTTTGAAAAAGAGCAACTGTTGAGTTTCTTGCCGGTCTCTTCTCAACAGAAACCGCTTTCCGAACCGGTGGTACCTTACGAACCTATACACATAATCTTTGATGTAAAATTTGACGATTCATAAGAGCGCGCAAGCGTCTATTTGAATAAATATATTTTGATTTTGATTTTGAAGGAAAACATCGTGAGGAAACCTGCATATTTTAGAAATAATAAAAAATCGAAGGTATATGAAATCCGCCAATCCGTAGTGGGGTCATATGGTGGACTATGTCCTTATACTCTCTGTACAGAGTAGGGCTTTGCTCTGCAGTGGGGCATTTATAGGCTGTTACTTTACATAAAAATAAGTTGTCATATAGCTGTAGAATGGCTGATCGATGAGGAATAAAAGTTTCCGAGTGGCAGCCCCATATTGGCCATCGCAGTGTAGAACCCACCACTAGATGGAGTAATGATCAGTCCAAATGTGAGGGAAGTCAATGGATGCTGGTGGCTTGCCTCGCGGCAGTTTGAGGGGAGGCCTATGTTCAGCAGTTGACTTAAACAGGCCGTAATGATGAGGATCTCGACCGCTTAGTGGCCAGAGAGACACGAAATCCAGAAAAACCAGGTTCATATCCTTGCAGCGGAGAAAAAAAATTGCGACATCTATTGTTATCATCTATTTGTTGGTGGATTATTTACATTTAAACATTAACTTTGGAGTTTGAGGTTCTACGTAGAATTCTGCTTAGAAAACCTCGTTATATTTTACGATTTGTATAATTCTTAAGGATATTAGATAAAAAAAATTACGAACATAGTTCGATTCATTCTTTCAGATTACGGACGGTTTTGTAGTGAAACAATTTATATTGATCTATTAATGTGTATTTTTATGATTTATGTTAGAATAGAAAATTTTCATAGGAAAATTTCAAAACCAACATTCATAAAATGATGAAAATATATTGATTCTTCGCAAACTAAATTTAACAATTTAAATCATTATTGATTCACTATGTTCAGAATTCTTAATTTTAATATTTTCTTCACTTCTTTAATACCATTTTCAATTTCCTCTTCATAAGTATTCTTGTAACGAGTATCCAGTCCTCCCAATATCGACTGCACTTTGTTTTCCCTCGCGCAAATTATAAATGGAAATCCAAACTTAGATTTATACCTAAAAATAAAAACATAAAAAGTAACATTATAATTTCTTATATTTACGCGATTACACATAATAAATGAAACTACGACAATAACCAGTCTGTCCCGTGACCATGAACGCTGTAAAGGGTTCGAAACGTCGGGAATTAAAATAAAAAATAAACGCGATAAATCCTTAAACATTAGTTTCATTTATAACAACAAAGGTAACAAACAAAAAGTTATTTTGATCATTTAACTAATAATCACAAAAGCCATATAAGCGCCATCTACTAATTAACTTGTAAACTTCTTACTGCAGTAAGGGTTATGAAAAACCATTCGTTTTAAATTTTGAAATGACGTAAAGATGGCGTTAGCGATATGTTTCCAGAAGATAAATTACATAAATAATTTACAAACAAAATTAATAATACCGTTTGTTTCTAGAGTCCATTAAATTCTTTTCTTCCTCGTTAAGACTATTTAAGCCTGCGCTACGTTGTTCGGCTGTTGACTCCGGTGTCAGTTCACCTTGTTGAGCCAATCGGCCTGCTAGATCTGGATGCGACTTTAACACCGCAAGTTTCTCTGTAAAAATGTCCACAAAAATTTAAACAAAATTAGCGCGCATTATGTAAATGCATATCTGTCTGTAATAAAATTAATTAAAAAGGCAAAAGTTACAGAGTTGCACAGATTTTAAGTCTTAATATTTATAAATACTTACTTATAAAATATAAATATGAATTGACACATCTATTCCTGCTAGTTTTACAAATAAAAGAGATTACTAGTACTTTTAGTAAACAATCGCTTAAGCTGCCTAACCTTCTACATCGGCGCTGTCCAAATATTTCTCGAACGCCTCGCAGATTTCGTCGACGTTGTTGAACGGTCTCAATTCTTTTATCTTCACCGCGGCTCTCTTACAGTGCTCAATAACATTCCCGAATATCGTCTCGTACTGTTCATCGTTTAAGGCGTTCACATCTGCAATTGTTAGCGATGCCATTATAACTTCGTGGTGTCAACACAACCATAGAACTTTTGTGCAGTTTGTAGCCAAACGACAGGCATTTTATCAGTAAACATTCCGTTATCGTCGGTTATCGTAGGTCATTAGTTGTGTACAAGTTCAAATTCTGACTGAGATGGATCCGTTCCGTTCAATGTTGCATTGTATAAACTCGCGAAACAGTTTTTCTTGTACATTTTGTACTATAGGACTTTGTTTAATAATCGCCTTTAATATAGCATTGTGTAGGTACTTTGCTATTTATTTACTGCAAAAGGAGGCAAACGAGCAAGCGCGTTGCCTAATGGTAAGTGATCACCGCTGCCCAGAGATGAATATTCCATGCGTGGCCGAATCTATGCTTTATAAAACTGTAAGCGGTGGCCCGACAGAAAATACTACCTCGTTCTTTTTTTTTATGTGAAATGTTGTCAAACGAGCAGACGGTTCACCTGATGTTAAGTGAATACCGCCGCCCATGGACATCTGCCACACCCGAGGATTACAGATGCGTTGACAACCTTTTGAAAATTGGGCTCCGGCTACCTCACTCACCAGACGAAACGCGAAAGTATTTGTCATACTTCCACTTTACGCTGGTCTTCTGTGAGGAAATTATTAGTTCTACTCAGGATATAGAGATTTTTAGTAGCCAGCTTGATTTTCCTTTCCAAATTACTGTGAAATTTAACGCCGCACGATATTTCAATGACAGAGTTCTGATCGAGTCTGTGGCAACAAGAGGAGTGCCCCCAAAAGAAAGTACATGACGAAACTTTTCCTCTTTGCGGTTATAGAGCAAACCTGGCACATATTCCGACTATATAGGTAATGACAGAGGTTTATTTATGTGAAAAAGTGGCAAACGAGCTGGCAGTTCACCTGATGTTAAGTGATAACCGCCGCATTTTTTGTCCTATAATAAGGTAGTTCACATTCTAATCGAGCGTGTACGACTCATATATCTTGTAGAGATCTGATTTTCTACAACGGCTTGTACAGTATTTTTAAAGAAGCCAAACTTGTTTGAAATGTTAAAGGTGAACAGTCAAACTAACCTCTTGCTCTTTAAGCAGAGAGGACAGGCATAGATTTAATGTGGGCCTTATGTATTCTTATTTTCCTCGCAAAGCGACGAGGATCTCTAATAGAAACGTTTGTTGACAGAAAATAGCATTACAGTGAAGTAATATTTGCAAATTATGTAGCCATAAAGTTTTCCTATCAATGAAGAGGTGAAAAAAAGTATCGTCCATTTTACCTCGTTTTCAAAAAGCTGGTAGCATGGGTTGCAAGCGTTTAGGATAGCGTGCCTTCAGTTAACTCACTGTGGGGTATCGTTGGTCGCAAATAATACTTGAAATGAGAGTATAGAATTCCCACTCTGGAACTGGACGCGCCAGTAGTCAACAAATCACAAATGCAATATGCGTATGCCTGTAGCGAGCACGTGCGCGAATAAGTAAAACAAGCGTCTGCAAAAAAAAACGTTTGTTGTAAAATCTCTTGATTTATGATAAGAACACTCTAGATGCCAAACTTGTCACCTAATAAAGGTCTAAGTTCGTGAATTAAGGTTGCTTTAAAAATCATCGGCGCTTGAAAGAAGGGCAATTTGAATAACGACTCTCTTTTTATTTACTTCAAAAGTCCCTTGATACGCTCGTGGGTGTGTAGGTTAAATAACAATGTTATTTAATAATCCAGTGCATGAGCCATCTTCCTTCCGAATTGCTGCGTGAAAATAAGACGAGCGTACACACTATCTCGTTCATACTATCGGTTAGAGTACGATTGCACTTGACTCGAATTCCGCTTCATTTCGCACGTACTGAGCCAATTCAAAACGTATTAATCTAAGCTAAGAAGAAACAAACGCGACGTTTATATGGCAGCGGTTCGGTTGGCGGATCTGCGGGCATAAATCACGGGGGCGCGTTGGCGCGGGGCCCTAACGACCCCGCCGGGAGCGCGCGAACGCGACAAATGGCCGCCGGGGAGTTCCCCGCGTTCCGCATTACCAACGCCGTGAGCTCGGTTTCTAACCGATTTGCGAACTTCGAAATTTGATCCGACCGTCTCCCACGCCGCCTGCCGTTTAAAATACTGATTTGATTTCGGAACGTTTATATTTATAAATTAAAAAGGGGAGAGCTGTTGATTTAATCTTTATTAATCTGAAATAATTGCTTTAATTATGAAGTCCGACTTTAGTGCCTAACATAGTCTACGTACTCTGATACTCGAGAGACATACAACATAACCTACAACATACTGTTGTTCGTCCTACCTTACGCGTTGTGTATCCGTCGCGTACATAAGGTTCATGCGTCAAGGTGCGCGAAAACCATTTTATCACGAGCTAAAAAATGTACATAACCGTTAACCTTCTAAAGCTTAATTTGTAACCGATGGAGTCCTTACGACTAAAGTCACTATACAATCGATAGATAGACCGACCATTATTTCTAGTACCAAATGTTTTACCGTTTGATGCAAATTTTACAACTGAAACTTTGTTTCAGTCTTCAAAATTTTTCCAAATGTCGGTATACGAGCGCTGAATCCGTTGTATAGGTTTCCGCCAAGATCGTGTGTGGCAAAATTGTAAGAAAAGAGCCGGGAAACTCTTCCCGGCTCTTTTCTTATAATTTTGAAAAATTTCCTACCTCGTTAGGTAGATCTTGGCTCTGAAATTCATAGGCTGTTTTAAGTGGTGGAGAACACCACTAACTAAAAGTATTTGAGGGGTCTTCTTAGTCATTCTCTTCTATGTGTACTATAGACGTGTTCTTAATGATTAGAGTTCTCAAGGTGTAGTTGTATCTAGTTTAATAGGTTTAGTATCGCCGTGCCGTACCGTTAACCAACGAGAGAACAAACTTCGCGAGAAAAAAACTACATATTATCCTTAAAAATGGAATAGTAGATATACTTAGATTGTAAGCATTTGATAACTATTACTAGTTACATTATTAGTTAAGTTTATTTATTTATTTATTTTATTTTATTTCAAGTAAAATCCACAGGTCTTTGTTACATCGTACGTACATCTTATGATCTTAAATTATAGCGAAAAACGGATTTACATTATTTAAATAGTATTTTCAATTTATAACGGACATGTTGAAGACAAAGTAGTTGGTACTAAAATACATAATTTTAAACATCTAGAAAAGAATTACAAGAAAATTAAAAGATTTTCAACATACATAATGCTCGTATGCGCCTCCCTCGCACGCGGGCATGTGTGTGTGTGTGTGTGTGTGTGTGTGTGTGTGTGTGTGTGTGTGTGTGTTCAAACACTTGAAATCATCAACATGTTGGGCACAACAGCTGAATCATTTTCATAGTGGTATTGGCCAGGTTTTTACGACCAGCTTTATTTCGCCGCGTCGCCGATTCAAACACACAATATTTACTGCAATATCAAAGAACAACAAAGCATTAAACAAAACTTTTTTTTATGTGAGAACATGGCAGTGTAAATAGCTGGCGGTGCACATGATTTTAAGTAATAACCACCGCCCATTAACATTTTAATTACCTACGGGTAATTAAAATGTTAATGGGCGGTGCAAAGTTGGCAACGCATCTGCAACCCTACGGGGTTGCAGATGCGTTGCCAACTTTTAATAATGTGGGCGCCAGCTTCCTCACTCACCAGATGAAACGTAGAAGTATTTCCCACTTCCACTTCACGCTGGTCTTCTGTTAGGTCGTAGTACTTTCCCAGACGGACTTACGTATTCGTGCAACAGCCGAAGCTTTGTTGTCATAAATCTGATTCAGGACTGACGGAAAGGCTGAATATAATCAAAAAGGCTTTACTGTATTACAACCTAAATAAAGGCTTCTCATGCACGAATAAATCAGTTCGTCCGACAAGTACCACGGCCTCACGGGAGACCGGCATAAGGTCAAAGTATTTACCATATATATATTTTAAATACTTTTGTGTTTTGTTTGACTAGTGAGGTAACTGAAGATCCAGACTCTCACTGATTGGCAACACTTACAGATATTACAGCCTAGCCCGTGATCAAGAATAGGTACCTACTGAAAAGTATTCGAAACTTTGGGTGTTTAAAATAAAAACAAACCGCGACAAAATCCGTTAGTTATATTAACAATTAGTACCTGGAGGATCGAACTTTCGTTTTTTTTCGTAAATCGTGTATTTTGGAATTAAAAATAATGTAAGAGGTGTGTAAATGATCGTGACACGAATATATATATACACAAGAATTGCTCGTGCAAAGGTATTAGATAAAATGTACCTAACATTACCAACATATAATAACATTGCCATCCTTATGGAAAGTATATATTTTTTATTACCCAAAAACTACCATTTTTATGCTAAAATATTTTACTTCCCAAAATAGCAAATTCTGTTAATTACTATTCTCATAAAGAATGTTAAAGATGTAACGGAGTGAAGCAAAATTGAAGGAAAAATACTATCATTGGATAAATGTACTCTACATGGGATTGGCACAATGTGAATCATTTTGTAGGTAAGTGGTTCTTTGGCTGGGTTAAACTTTAACGGTAATTTAAAACGTAAAACGATAATAAAGATAATATTACTGATTTATAAACCAGAAAAAAGAAACCCAAAACATAAGTATATCAAGACTCGAATACGTACGTACTTACTTTGATAAAATTTCCGATATCCTGTACAAGGCCTTAAACACAAATAAATAAATATTTTACTGGCAACAGTTAGAAACAATAGCAAATGTTGCTTCTTCTTTATGCAAATTTTTATTTATTCTCGTCTGCCGATTTCTTTTATTAAGATTTTATTTAATGGCGCTATAAATCAAAGTAACAAACGGCGCGTAACAAAATTCTTTAGAACAAGTTATTAACTTTGAATATTCTATAGTGATCTTAACTAGTTATGGTATCTACGACCATACATGCTGGCTTGTTTTTTTATTAAGTTGTGTATTGTGTGATTCGTTGACAGGTTTTCGAGTATAATACACCCTACAATCTACGACCCTATAATCACTTTCATTTTTATCGAAGTAAATTACATATGAAAATTATGAAATAGGTATATTAAATAAATTCTTAGTTTCACGATTCTGTTGTTTATCCTGTACAATCCTATTCCAGTAAGATACTCGCAAGCCTGTGAATTGTCAAGATCTTACTATGTCATTAACATCGGCATAGGTTGAATACATACTTAATTAAAAAAAATATCAAACGTGAAACATGGGGCGAAAATAATCCAATAGATAAATTATACGATATTAAGTTATTATCATGCGACTTACAATAGCTCAAGGTCGTAAATTATATAATACACTTACAATAAAATTTAATTTACTGACTGTATACAAAAATACTTCATTAAATTAATACCTACGGATTTAAGGCAGAAATATTGCTATAAAAACAGCGCAATGTCGTAACTCCTTGCACGGAAGTATTCCATTAAAGTGAAATGTTTAATGTCGTAATAATCACAATGTCAATTAGCCATCATAACATAAATATAAATATTCAGCCATTTAGGAGACAATACATTACGACGACGGTGACACTCAGGAGAAATCAGTAACGTAGTGGTTTCAAATGATATGGAACCAATAAACATAAAAGCGGCGCTGCGCACCACGCATGTGATTGCTGTGAATTAATTAAAAGTGGTTTTCATTAGATCCATAAACGTCGTCGGGTCGCCCGCGCCATTCCGCCGGCCGCCATGTTGTTAGGCAGCGCGGCGGGCGGGGCTTGGCTTCACAGATAACAAAAGCTATACGTGCGTGCGTCCGAACGTGCCGCTCCACTGCCTCACGCTACCTGCCTTTCGATACGTACCAATACATTATATCTTTATTTCTTTTATCTATTTTTTATATTAAACGCTCACCGCTCCATTGGTTGACTTTTCGTTTTTTTTTAATTGTACAAAAAGTATTTGCAACTTTTACGCTGCCTGAATGGTATGTATGAGTAAATTGTTAGTGTGTGCACGGGTACATTTTAGGTTAGTAGTGAGACAGATCATGTACGTCGCACTTTTTTTGTGAATAAACATGAGACTAGGAATAATGCAGCCGCACTCATACAACATTGCGAGTACTTACCTATTTTTACTACAAACCTAGTGTTAGTTAGCCTCAGTGTTTACATTTTATTTTTAACTGATAACGGAATGTGTGATGGGGTTATAAAAATTTATAGTAAAGCAATAAAAATGTTGCTTAATGTATTCTTTAAATGTCTACAGTTATTATAAAGGCTGCTTTTGATTTTCTTTATCATTGTGTGGTACCAATAAATAAACCCCTCATACATATTTGTTTTAAGCTTTTGAGGTATCCGTGAATAACAAATTGGAAATGTTTTTTAAATATTTAAACAACGTGGAAGGCGGATGGGGCATGGAAAAATTCAAAACCATCTTGTTTATTAAAACATTAGAATATTATGAATATTAGAAAATGAGCGTATTGGATCTAAGGTTTTCATTAATCTTTAGATCCAATACTCTAATTTTCTAATAGTAGGAACTATTTGAGTATATGAAAGTTTTTAATTTTTTTTGTATATCCATCGTAATATTTGAAAGAAGGCTCCCATGAAGGCTGATGAAGGTTACAAACTCCATCAGTCTTCATGTTGATCAGTTTCAATCTCTATGAGACTGATGGGTTGACTTTTTCCTTTTTTTCCGTAGCCACTCACTACACGGACCTTCTAGTATAATACATGGGGTACTTATTATTTTCCTCAGGACTGGTCTAGGTTTCCAAACCTCTGCTAGATAATGTTCACAAGATCTAATGCTAATCAATAGGCCAATATTACATAAATTCATTTGGATTTTATCTCTGACAACAATGACGTCTTTGTTATTCATGTCTATGTGCTCATCACTTTCGCCGTTTCATCTTCATGTTAAATCTAGACCAAAAAACTCAATAAGCTTTGGCTAGGAAACATATAAATATAATATAATAAATAATTCTTATCACCTTTATAATAACTTCGTAAAAGTTATTTTGTTTAACTGCTTTATTTAAATTTCTATAATGCTATAAACAAGTTAGAGAAAATTAACTACTTAAAATGACAAATTCAATAGGAAATATGAGTGAAGGAAAAAATAACCTCAAATTACGTAAGCAAATTACGTACGAAATGTGTTAGCCACGTTTCGGGCCATAACATTAGTTTGTACTTACAATCGTGTGTCGCCCGGATCAGTTATCGCTTCATATAGATGTCTGGTTATAAAACCCTTTTGGTAACACGTGATGCGGAGTGATTTATAGCGAACTTGGGGACGAGGATATATC